TTTAATTTCTGAGGAAACTTCTCAAAGTATAACTCCTGATTCTCTAGTGATAGATAGAAACAAGATAAGGCGTGTTATCGTAAAATCAGGCACTAAGTTAAAAAATGAAGCACTCAATGAAAATCCAATATGTGCTATTTATTTTGATAGTAGAAAAGATGAAACTTTGACTGCTCTTGGGTCAGTAAAGGAAGAACATATTGCCTTAGTAGCTGAGCCTGGCCCAAAATACATAGGTCATGTTGTCACGCCTTCAGGCTCTGCCCAGGATGAGTGTGATGCTATTTTTAACTATGTCACCACAGATCTTAACGGTGGTTTGGAGCAAGTCATTGTTGCTGGTTGCATTGGTACAAATACAAATACAGGATGGAAGGGAGGCTTTCTTCGAAAGCTGGAAGAAAAAGTTGGGCGTCCTTTGCAATGGTCAGTTTGCCTTCTACATTTTAATGAACTGCCATTCAGAGCTCTTTTTACATCTGTTGATGGATCTTCTTCAGGTCCAAACAATTATACAGGTCCAATAGGATTGAAACTTCCTAATTGTGAAACACTTGTTATTGCTAAGTACAAATCTATAGAATGTGATTTACCTGAAGTGGATACAAAAGAGCTTAGCAAAGATCAAAAGTATCTCCTCGAAATAGCAAAAGCTATTCACTCCGGAGAATGTTCAGTCGAACTTGCATCTCGGAAACCAGGTCCTATTAATCTTGCTCGCTGGCTTACCACTGCAAACAGAATTCTAAAACTGTACATTTCAACTAAGAGTCCAACACAAAAAATGAAAGTAATAGTGAAGTACTTATTAACAGTGTATATACCACTGTGGTTCACTATAAGAAAGAACAAGTCAATTGCTGTTGGTTGCCGTCATCTCTTCGAAACAATCAAGCGTTCAAGGTACCTTCCTTTGAAGTATCGAACTGTTGTAGATGCATCCATTCAGAATAATGCATTTTTTGCGATGCCTGAAAATGTTCTCCTTGGAATGGTAACGGATTCAAGGCTTGCCGTTCGTACAGATGCACTGAATAAAATCCTAAAAGCAAAAGAGGAAGAGACAAATATTATTGGGTCCCAAGTAAGATATAATATTGTCCCGAAAGTTAATTTTGAAGCAAATAATTACGCAGACATAATTGCGTGGATCAAAATGATGTTTTAATCACTGTCCCTCCAGTTTTGAGAAGCATAAATACAATTGAGCTTACCTCTAAACTTTCCGCACCTGACGGTGTAGTACCTAAGTGGAACTCCACTTCTTTTCCTTGTCACACTGTTGCTGTAGAGGGAACTATAAAGTTAGTCACGGAAGCCTCAGCAAAAGTCATCGGCCCCGAAGCTCGTAACAGACATATAAGGTCAACCCTTCTTTCTCGTCAAGCTGTACCATTATTTGACAGTAAGAGACAATTTGTAAGTATCTTTGCAAGCGAAAAGTTGTAATAGACACGTCCAATATGGTTGGTAGGTTGGGTAGGGCGTGGGTGGAGCCCGATGTGCAGCCATCTCCACGTAGTTGGTTCTGGGTCACGGATTTCAGTGATAATAAGTGAGCAAAGAGCTGCATAAAAATTACTCCATTTTTACGGAAAAGTCGTATTTTTACTCCTTTCCTTTCACACTGTGTTTGAATTAAGGACACTTTCAGGTCTCTATTTTAAATTTCTGTTTCTTTTTGAAGATTTTTCTTTGATATACGAGCCTTAGAATGCATTAGTAATACAACCGATTCCAATTTATAATAAGTCAAAGTTTCAGTCATTTTACCTTAAATTTCAAAAAATGATGCATAAAGAACGAACAGAAGATATTGGCCGATTCGAAGCGGGTTTTGCAGGTATATTTCTAATAAGTGTGGGCCACTTTTCCCAGGTAGCCATTTCTGATAAATGAAAAATTTGTTAAAATGACCCACCCTAATGTACATACTTATGTACATATGCATGAATGTATGTATGCATTCATGTTATCAATTAATGAAGTACGTATTTACATACATATGCGGGGGAAATGCAATTTCATTTGACTGCAAAACTATTGGGGCATATTCGTAGACGAAATAAAGACGACTTTGAAGTTAAAGTTTGTCAACCCCAAATAAGAGGAAAGTTATTATATGTATATATAGTATGTGCATGTGTAAGAACGTTATCAATAAATAATTTTCGAGGTTGTTTATGTATGTATGTGTATATGTACCCTGTAGGGAA